AAAGTAATTTGAAAAGTAATCATAATATTAGGAAGAAGCAGAAGGGAGAATCACAGAAGGGAGAATCAGATAGAAAAGGGAATAAAAAGGGGAAGGAGAAGAAGAGAGGGAAGAGGGAAAGGAAAAGAAGCTACAAAGGACAGAAACAAGATATAAAGGTACAGGAAAAACGTACAGGAATTAAAGGTATAAACCTCTTTAAAAGACACAGAGATGGTTAAAATTTAAGTTAAGGAGAGGATTCTGCAAGGGTGCATGGGATAGCATTGTTATATTAGAAATAGAAAAGGGTTAGAAAATATGTTAGATGATTAAAGTGATAGAAAAAATTTCTATTGATATGTAGTGGAATATTTGTTTGTAAAAAGAATAAGGCTCTCAATGATTTAAAAAGAACGTTTAAAAAAACCTGAAAAGAAACATGGAAGATTTTTATCAGTTGACAAGATGAACTTGAATAAGAATAATAACTTTATTGACTATTGTTAATAACTATTATTTGGTTTTTTATTTAAAGACAATAATAAGTAAAATATGAAATATAGATGATTAAAGTGAAAGACAACTGATATTACTAGGTAATGTTTGTTAAAAGAAATAGAAATGTAATTGTTATTAATATTAATGGCAGAGCTGTATTTGAATAGAATATTCCATTTACTATTGTTATACATATATACACAGATACATATATACTGTTTTCTTTTAAGAATTTAGTATGTATTTTAAGGGAATGTACCAAGCAGAATTCGATTGAAAATAGGTATGTGTTAAAAAAAAGAAGTTAGAAAATGAATGTTATAACTGTAAAGATGTAACTTAAATTTTTAAATAAGATTTGAAAAAAGATACAAAGATGTTACACTCCAGTCTAGTAATTACAGGGGGAAATTTGTTTTATGAGAAAAGATAATATGAAATTGTAAATAGGACAGACGAAAGTATGAAAACATTGATTAGAAAGATTTTAAAAATTAGAAAAAAATATGTAATTGAATTAAGAAAGGAATGAGATAATTTAAAATAAGGCTATCGGAAGACAAGAAAGGGAAAAGCTATTGAAAAAATTGTGAAAATAGTTATAAGATATGGATTAGAATGTATAAGATAAATATGTATTGAGTTTATGTTTGTATGGAGAAGTGATAACCCGGGGCCACGCTATTCTCAAAAAAAGATATTTTATTTGTATTTGTATGTTTTGTGAAAACTTAAATAAAACTTTTATTAAAAAAACAACACTCATCTTGTTCTTTAAGCCATTACTCATTTTCTATATTAATTCTTTACTTATTATAGTGATTAAAAGTCTAAATATTTTATTAAGGATCTTCAATTCTATTGCTGAAGAGATTTAGCAGGTTTTTGTGTTTTTTTAATTAATCGAAGTAGAATAATGTCTTTATAAAAAGCTTCTTTTGTATGGATTTGCATCAGATATACTCACTGAAAAGTTACAGAGATTTCATGATTTGGAGGGATGGTTTTTAAAGGCTTTTTCTTTAAAAAGGGGGGAAATTCAGTAACTTTAGTGAAGAGCAAATCATAGGGTATGGGTGGTAAATTTTTGTTGGAACAATATAAACCTCATGTCAGAATAAAGCAGACCTATTACAAAGCTAAAGAAAGATTGGATCTACTTCTATGGAAGTTGAGGTAGATTGATGGTTTATTACCAGGATTTACCAGGGCATCGAGTCCACCTTCCATTGGGAAAAGTGAACAAGAAGCTTTTAAATACAGAGACAAAATAAAAATTCCTCTCATTGAAATGATCCAGCTAGACATCGAGCTTTTCACTGCCTTCCTGGTTTGCCTTCTCAAATAAATAAACATGGTTGAAAGGGTTATGGGAACAAAACAGAATAATATATTATTTGGAGAATGAAAATTGTGTCAGGGAGTTAGTTGTTTATGTAATAAGGTAAGATGTTGCTTTGTATATTAACATCCTTCTCATCCCACAAACTTTAGGGAAATTGGGTAAGAAGGAAAGGGAGAAAGAGACTGCTTGTGTAATGTGTCATTTATAACGGCAAATGGTGCAATATACCATCAAAGAAGAATCGTTTGGATAAACAGTGTGTGGGCACGTTTACCGACTAATAGTCACCCTTTATAAAAAAATTTGGCAAATAGAAGTTTGTGGGAGTTTTGTATTTGGATTGCATGAGCACATTTAATAATATATTGCTTGTCCTTTACCAAAATAATGGTAGTTGCCCAACCTACCACAATAAGCAGATTCTACTTTGAAAAAGAATGCCTTGTTTGAAAAAGATGGTACATTTTCCTCTATCTTTCCTATTTTGGGATGTATTTTGTCAGGTATTACTATTGTTTGCAGTTAGGCAAGAGTATGTGTTCATATTTAACAATTAGGATAGCTGAAGATAGTTTTCATTTGTGTGTACCACAGAAAGAACAGTGAGAAAAAATTTGATTTACTTGTGTTTTTGTGCAGGAGGTAAGAATGATTTAGAATTTCTTCATAATTGTTTTCTTTCACTTAGTGGGTTGTGATGTTTCTGGACCCTTTTATAATAAATCAGGGACAAATATAATTAAAGAAGATGGATGGATGGACTAATTTGCAAAGCCAGATGAATGGCATAAAGTCATTGGGTATTTCTGTACATATTTATTTTGATCAGATTCCACAATGTGCATGTGTTGTCTTGATGCAAATTGAGTTCGTGGGCAAGGTAAGAGGACTGTTTGAATGATTCAATCCAGTTTTCCGGCTACCTTAATTTATGGTCCAGATCAGTTTTGGATTAGTCCAAAGGAATTCATTTCAAACAATTTAATATGACATATTGATATATCTTGCTTGCACTGGATTCTCTATTATGCCAAGTATTATATATTAAGGAACTGACTACTAAAACTTTATGTCAGTCTTTTCCCCCCTGCTATCTACTTTTTATTTTGTACACTCTCTTTTGTGTCATTATTTTTTTCTGTTTTAACAGCTCATGTTGTTGTCTTTAATTGAAGAAAAAAGTTTCAAATGATATTTTCAAATGAGTTCATCCTTATTCTATGACATTTCATATGTGTTCTGTCATAAACCTAAGTTTAAATACTACATATACAATACACATGCATAATGCAATTCATTTTATTTTAGTATGCAGTTTTCTTTTAACGTTTACATAGTTATTATTGGAATTGATGCTTTCATAATTAATTAAACAAAATCAGACCAATTGTAAAGTATGTTAACATATATTTCAGTCTATGTGATGATGATATCTTTAAAAAGAGTAGATTTTGCAAACCTTGTTTTGTTTCTTAACAAGTTATCAATGATAACTTCTTTCCTTTAAGTCAATAAAAGTTATTGTTAATGAGACTAATTTTGGTCTCTTAGATTCTGAATTTAAAAGTGTTTTTTTTCTTTGTTCAGTCTCTTCATAAATATTTCAAAAATTTAAGGTTCTTTGCTTCTCACATTTCCAGTTTCTCATCAAAAAGAAAATAGAAATTTCAACATCAAAAAAATTCCATAGTGCTATAATATACTGAAAAGTTAAAAAAAAATATTTACAGAAGTTTTTCAAATTCTTTAAATTTGTTTATATATTATACATATGTCCAGTATAAGAATTTTTCCATCCTCCATAAATAGAAAAAATAAAATATGTTTACAAATATTTGACATTAACAAAAAAAAATGGATATTTGCACTGATCTTTTTTATTTCAGGATTTGCATTAAAAAAAAATTGAACGAAGTGTTTTGGTATGTTATTTGCAATATGCTTTATAGCTAAGCAGTATTCTGAACTTCAGTTATTTTTAAAAACCAGTAAAGAAATTAAACAATATAAACTGGAAACAGAATATAACTGTTTAATAGTCTTTCAATAATTGATGATTAAAGGTATTTTAAAACAAATAATTTTAATTACATTTGCTTTATATTTTAAAGGAGTTATTTCAAAATAAAGATAACATTATTAATAAAGCATTATGATTTGGGTTCAATGATATTCTTCTAAATACTGACAAACTATTTTGTTCTTTTAAATGAACATTTCTATTTACTGGCAAACTAAATGGAGAATAGGGAAGAAAAAAATTATTTCAAATACAAAAAGGTTATTCTATTTGTACAACTTTTTGTGCAAGATGTTTTCACTGAATTATAGAAGTCAAAGGTTGCAACTTGGGAATACCTTACATGTCATTTATGCCACATCATAAAATAACTCTGTATACATTGTGGTCACTCATTACACACAGCATTCTGCTAGTCCTTGTGCAAGAATTCATGAATGATATGAATACATTTCTTCCTTCTTGTTTTTAAGAACCAGGTATAGTGAATTCCCATTAGGCAGCAAATCATATTTTAAATAGTATGATATGCCTGTGTATAATCCCCTTTTGAAATTCTATATTATATTGAGTTATATTTTTATGAATTTGGTTTTACATGTTCTGTACTGCACTTTAAATACATGAGCCTCTTCGGTGTGTAAAACCAGCAGTATTTTTTTTGCACTATATGCTTTACTTTACTTTTTTATTTTTTAACTTTTTGTTTTTAGATTTATAGGTAATTTAGAAAATAGAAAAACAGAAACTTGTGAGGTTTTTTTTACTCTTGTCCAAATATCGAAAAAGAACAGAAAAATTACTGTATTCTCATGGATTAATGTTTTATTTCTTTATCAAGCTAATGAACATTGCAACTAGAAATTTTTTAAGCTCATAAAGCATATCTCCCCTTAATAGTAAACTATTTAAACCTGTTAAGTTGATTTCTAAGTCAGGTATTTGTGGGGGCACTGTTTCCTAAGGAAGATGGGCATCCTCCTGCCATAGTTAAGCATGTTTAAACCCAGAGGTGTCAAGAATAGAAATACACACAATACAATGGAGCAAAAATGCATTGTCCTACACACAATTTTCTGTAACATATTCAGACAATCACCTGCATGTTCCATTTTAATACTGTTTTCTTTCTTTTTTCTTTTTCTTTTTTTGTAGAGGCTGAAAGCAGCTTTGACTCATATTCCTGCGGGCATCTCCAATGGAAATATGAACACCATGGGTCATATGATGGAAATGATGAGCTCTCGACAAGACCAACCAGCCCACCATCATATGCACTCACATCCACATCAACACCAGACCCTTCCACCCCATCACCCATACCCCCATCAGCATCAACACCCAGCACATCATTCTCATCCTCATCCTCATCACCAGCACCCACACCATCATTCTCATTCACATCTTCAGGCTCACCCAGCACATCATCAGACTTCGCCACATCCGCCACTGCATACAGGCGGGCAAGCACAGGTAGAGCCTTCTAACCTCTCTTATGTGAAGATGGATATTAAAAGCAAGAGTTTGTTGTGCTTTTTTTTTTTGCACATTTTAATTCTCCTGCATCTTTTTTGTAATTTTGATGTTGTCAAATCAAGGAAGGCATATATTATAGGTCTTGAGTAGTTTACCAGAGGATTCAGATTAAGCAATATTACCTAATATTGCAAGACAAAAGACCAAAGTCTTAGAACTTCCATAATAAGTCTGGAGATGGTTTCCAATGTCAGATGCCCCTTCCACGGGAAAATTTCTCCTCTCTTTCTCTTTTCCTCTCACCTCAGAGGTGTATGTCTTTCTCAGGACCATAGGATTGCAGCCTAAAACTGAAGAAGGTGGGAGCTCTTTTATTTGATACATTTTTCTATATAAGAATGCTCCTTTTATACCGTTTTTTGTCAGAGAACCTTGAGTTCCTTTCCCATATTGTAAAGTGCATGCTTTTATGTAGCAGAATTGCTTATTGTAGATTAAATAAATGTTTCATGCTGCATACTTGTATTCTTGCTATGGATAACCACCACCACCAGTTTTCTGCTCAACTGTTCGTTGCTCCAAAATTTCTTTCAGTGCATGGCATGATGAGTGCTGAACTTGGCCATGTATGAAGTTTGTTTTTTATATATCATACCAATCTGCATGCCGAAGAGCATGTTAACCATATGAAATTAGAGGGGTTATAGTTGTAAAACTACAGAGCTTGTAAAAATATATATGACTTCCCTCTCCACATTATCCACACTATGATTGTCTCTTTCTTACTCCTTTGCTACAAGAAAAAATAAACAAAACATAGATATATATAATAGGCACCTCAGATATAGTTTCAATGTGGTATAATAATTAGCTGATTATCCACCACATGTATGAGGTCTATAGTAAATAATATTTAGGTCTGAAGTTAAGACCAGGATTTTTCTTTGATTCTCTCTTCACTCTACCACAGAGATGGGGAACGATAGCCCCTTTATGACTTGTGGACTTCAACTCCCAGAATTCCAGTGTCTTCATGTCTGCTAAGGAATTCTGGGAGTTAAAAGTCTACAAGTCATAAAAGGACCATTCATCATTCCCCATTCCTGCTCTACAGTGTGGCTTTTTGAAACAGTTGAGTATGCAATTGAACGCAATTGAATTTAAATGATTTTCCTAGAATTTAAATTAACCTATACATATTTGCAATAGCAGTTTTGGCAGAAGCAGGGATGCCCCCAGTCCCCTTCCCAGCTGTTCACACTGAAACAATTGTTACTTCTTAGATAAAAACACCTTTGTGATATAACATTCACACTCTAGCAGATGAAGCAAGAAAAGAAGTAGCCTGCTTTCACAACATTGAGAGTTATCCCCCCTCCCACAACGTTGTGTCTGCTGCTTAGAGGATAAATCACGATTTTAAGATCTACAGGTCAGCTAGACAACAGAACAGTTTTAATTCCTCGCGGGAATGCAAAAGTAATGACACTTTTGAAGAGGGCATTGCCTGGGATAAAAGATGGTTTGAGTGAGTAATAAACATAAGGTTGTTACTTTCCAAACCCATCTATAATTCCCCCCAGTACTGGCCCCTTTAAGGTCAGACTGCTTCAGCAGACACATTAATCTTATGGTACAGTTTACTAATTATTAACCAACTCTTTCTATTGAACCAGATTCTTGATTTTCATGGTTCATGTCAAAACCAAACTGTGTTGCTAGGAGTCACATTTCCTTTTTGCCATAATTTTGATTGTTATGCTACATCCCTGTATTAAATTTCAAACTTTTCAACAGCCAACAGGAACCTAATAAATTAGGTTGTAGAAATGAATGGCTAGAAATTTAAAGTTGTAAAAAGTAGAAAGGACATACCAATTCAGGGATCAAGGCAAAAATCCAGCCAACTTTTACTATATCTCTTTTCTTCTTCTGCTGTATCAAATGAATTAATTCACATATTAAAAACATTTATAATTAAGTCAAAGGAATTCTAGGAACTTTTTAACATTACATTTTGTTTATCAAAATGTTTATTATAATTTAGTCTCATTTATTCATGATTTTGTAAGATCAAATACCAAAATATACAGCATCTGATAAATATAATAGAACTTAATAGAATTCATTCTATGGCTTCCCTAGTTGGGTTTTTTTTAAAGTAACAGGTCTACCTTACTTAATTTATTTCAGCTTCAAAGTTAGAATTAAAAGAAATCACATAGAAATGAACTGTAATTAACCATAAAATTTGTTGTTTGGAAAAAGTGCTACTGATTTTTTGCTACTATAGACTGACATAGCTTTTCTCCCACAACAACAGTGAGAAGCACCAAGCTTAGAATATATTTAGTTACTTCTGACCAAATATTGGAAATATGCCTGATTAGATTTGATCTACTTAACTTGAAAATACTATATCAATCTCTCTCATGCACACTTTTTGTTTGTTTTAACTGTATCTTTCAAATTAACATATTTCCAGTAATCTCAAAATATTTTAATTACGTTCTGCTCACTGTTAACTTGGAGCAAAGTTGTTAAAGCAGAAAAGATTGTTTTGTATCTATAGGGGCAAATTAATTTGAAAGTGATATTAGAAACAGCACTTGTAGTTTAAAGTGTAAGTGTAGAAAGCTGTTGAAATATACACATTTATTTATTTATTTAGCAAATATTTGGTGACTCCAAAAATGTTCCTTCATAGTTTAAAACAGATCTTTAAGTCCTGTATTTTTCAGGTAAGTAAATATCAGCAGTATTTTATTATAGAAGGCATCTGGCATTACTCAGCATCAGCTTTCCATGTCAATATGGCTTACAAACATGGGGAACAAGTCATGCATTCCTCTGAGCATGATTATACACCTGAGTTTATGTGAGGAATGAAGTGTTCTTGAAAAATACTTTTAACACTGTGAGAGAACAGGTTGCCCAGAGAATGGCCAGCATCTGTGCGGCTGTCCTGCTGTTTTAAGCGTTCTCCCAACCAGCACAATAACCTTGGCTATGAAATTGTGCTGAAACAGCTGAGTGGTGCTGGTGCTACATGGGAGAGCCAGAAGAAAAAAAGATGGAAAAAAGGAATAGGAGGAGAAGAGGAGGAGTATGTATAAGTGTAAGTGTAAGTAAAGCAACCTGATTAATCTGAAACAATTAAAGAGATAATTTTTCTCCAGCAGTCCTCACAAGGAGTAATAGTTGGAGTACTCATGAGGAGTTGAAGTAAAATAGTAGCAATGGAGTAGTGTGTGTGTGTCTGTGTGTTGTTTGGAGGCTGTTGTGTTGGCTCTTTCATGTCTTAAGCTCACCAAATTGGGTTTAATTAAAAGAAACTGACAGTCACAGTTTGGTCTTGGCTTCTTAACACAGTTTATAAGATATTTGTTTTGCTGATATTCATAGTCTAGATGTGCTCTGCATGGTGTTTTTTTAGGATTTACTGTTTGTCAACAACTGGAAGCTAAATAGCTTATGAAAGTTTATGTGATGCTATAAACCCACCAACATTATCTGCTACTGTATTCATTAGATAAGATAAATATCCCATAAGTATATCCATCATATAATTAGGGGTTGAAACCACTCTTAGAAGATCTATTTTATTTCAGAAATAAAATAAAATTCTAAAAATAAAATTCTAGAGTGAAAAATACATCATGCTTCCAATCAGCTTTCAATTTTAAACACTTATAAAATTGTTTGCTTGAATCTCTTTAGTCTTCCTGTTTATGCTAAAGTAGAAAGCCACATTTTATTAATTCTTACATATGTTTTATTCTGCATGGAAATAGATAAACTAAAATTATGATGTTTTCATTGAGAAAGCATACATGCAGAGGAATGAAGCAATTCATGTTTATCATTATCATATAAATTCATTCCCACTTTTCTCCCAAACATATAAATGGAAGAATAATTTTATTTTATTTTCATCTTTTAATCGGAGTCAGTTTTATGTTTATTTCAGTTTTAAATACCTAACACAGAGCAGATATATTAGCTGTAGTCTTACCTAAGCAAAACTAATGCTCAATACCGTATAAAGAAAAAATAAAAGCTGAAATTTGAATCAAGTTAACTCTAATCCCTGATCATGACATCTCTGGCTTTTTAGGGGGGAAATGCCTTTTATTAGCTTTCAGTCAATATACGTATTTAGAATTGCCTTGTAATTTCTCCTCTAAATACTAAGTAGGTTCAGCAAAGCTTAAGTTTTTTGGGAATTGGCCAAGACTGACTTGGCTACAAAGGAGAAATGCAGGACTTTAAATTGTGAACAAAATTAAAGGTCCTGGGACTCTTTCCCTGTTTGATTAATACTAGGTGTCACAACATTTGAAATGATTCATGCTTGAACTGAATGCTCTCTTTGCTGTACTGAAATGAACTGAAAACATTTTTAATAAGATGGAGCAGTTCTCTCCCACAACACAGTTCTGAAAGGCCAACTCCTGCTTCGGGCAAAATGTTAGACAAAGAATAGTTTAAGGATACTTTATGAAGTCTCAGAATTTCTACCATTTGCTAATTTGTGTGTAATTTGGTAAGGAATGCCATTTATCTCTTTGGGCTGGTCTTCTAGTGTCACATATTTACTGGCTATTTAATTAAAAACAGTTATGATTCCTATTAGGTATCATCAGCAGCTCAACAAATGCAAGCCACACAGAGCCTACAACCACCACAGCCAACTGGTGGTCGTCGAAGAAGAGTGGTGGATGAAGATCCAGATGAACGACGGAGGAAATTTCTGGAACGAAATCGAGCAGCTGCCACACGGTGCAGACAGAAGAGGAAAGTTTGGGTGATGTCACTGGAAAAGAAAGCAGAAGAACTCACCCAAACAAATATGCAACTTCAGGTATAGATTACCATCAATTTAATAGGATACAATTGTTTTTATGCCCATAAAACCTTAACAAAGAAAACGTAACGTTGAGTTGCACTACATTATACTTATCACGGAAAAACAATAAATCTGATAAAATTTAATGTTTAATTTGCAAAATTTTAACCAAGAGTTTTTTTTAAAAAAAATTATTTTCTTCACATAAAAAGACTTACAGTTAACAGCATGAAGCTATCTCTTCATTAGGACTGAGATAGGTATTTAAAGATAGTAAGAGATATAACCCTTTCTCCTTTAGCCTAAAGCAGGTCTGTCAAACTCTCAGCCCATGAGCTAGATGTGTTACCCATTAGCCAAGCCCATATGCTGCTTAGCAAAGGGGAAAAAAGTCAGGATACATCATATAATGACGTGAGTTTGACACCCCTGGCCTAAAGCATATTACAGGCAGTCTTTGACTTAAGACCACAATTGAGCCAAAATTTCTGTTGCTAATTGAAGCAGATGTTAACTAAACATTGTTCCATTTTTTGACCTCTGTTGCCACAGTTGTTAAGTGAATCATTGCAATTGTTAAGTTAGTTGTTAAATGAATCTGTCTTCCACATTGATTTTGCTTGTCAGAAGATTGCATAAGTGATCACGGTACACTATAAGCATCATAAATATGAGTGTTGCCAAGCACATGAATTTTGATCACATGGGAATGCTGCAACAGTCATAAGCAGGTCATAAGTCACTTTTTCCACTGCCATTATAACGTCAAACTGTTGGAAATCAAGGACTACTTGTATTTGAATCACTAGCTACTAAAATATGCTTTATGGTCCTTCGCCCTACAAAAATGGCCTAAATTGTTTAATTCATTGAAATTTAGATCTCATTGGAATGTTTTTTTAAAATATACTAGGTATCTAGTATAAACCTCTATAGGTACAGTTGATGGCATTTGTGGAGCTGGATTATGGGCCAAGAGTAGATCATATCCATCCTCTGCCCATTAATTTCTGGAGATAAAAGTGATCCAAATCAAAAGCCTCATCTTGAAACATCCTACCACTTCCATTTGGATTAATGTAAATAATTGGGGACATTGCTGTTGACTATGTATAGCCTTGCCTTGATTGTAGGTTTTCCTAACTTCCTGGTAAATTGAAGTTCCTGCATAACTGGACACAATAAATGTATTTATATTTTTATATGTTAAAAAATGACTGCCCAATTATTGACCTCAAGAACAGCTAAAACACAATAATGGCAGCTTAATAGGAAATCTAAATTAGGATAGTCTGAATATCTGGAAGGTATAAAGGCATATTATTGTTCAATGCAAATTTTTTCTTTCTTCAAAAGTGCTTTGTATAGTATGACACCTGATAAGTAAATTAAGCTTTGGCAATGTGTGTGTGTTTAATATTGTATTATGCAAATGCAGCCAAAAGACCAGGAAATCTGATTCCTAATAGTCTTTTCTGAATGAATGGATGGACATAAGCTTCAACAAAGGTAAACTGGCTTATGAATTTCAAGGGATATTATTACTCAAGACAGGAATATCTATCAGCCATCTTTATTTCCATCTTTGATTAATTCTTCCTGACTTTCCTGACTTGTACTTTATAGATAAATATATTTTTGGGAAATTCAACTTGTTCTTTGTAGCTCTTTTTTTTAAGCAGTTATGTTTTGAGTCTTCATTTTTATGCTTTGGGAATGGAATGCTCTCTGGGATGGGGTGGGGGGATGGACTTTCTTGGATCTGATAACCCGTGCTTTCCAAACGCTAATAGGTCATTTTAACAGGAGAACAATATTATTCAATGCAGGGGAAAATCTTTAATGTAACAAAATTCTTTTTTTTTTCATTCAAGTCCACCCATTTGACAAAATGCAGCCTCTGAAATACCACCCCAAAAAATAATCTGAACAGGAATCCATAACTTTAAAGTTTTAAACAGCTACTTTCATGTATTGAATTTGACTGAGGACAAAGCAGGATGATTGTGAATAAAGAAAAGTTATTTCTCTGCTATGCCATTTCAGTAGTACAATTTAGTTTGTCTGCAGGGGTATCTGTGCAATTCTGCAAGTTGATATACATGCATCACAATCAAAGCTGTACCCCTACACACATGCATGCTACATGTACAAAAAATTATGGGTCTTCCATCACAATGTTTTGTCCATCATCTTATAGATGGCTATTTTCCTACAGACACACCTATGTCTGCAGAGTCCAAGCTCTGTTTGTACTGTTACTGAGCAACAAAGCAAATGATTAGGCTGTTAAAATCAGATTACCAAGAAAGCTTCTTGCCATCAATTCTTCTTCCACTCTGACAATTAAAATTGTCATAAAAATGAGAGTCAGCCTCAAAGCTTTCAAATAGGCAGTAAAACATATACCAGAACACAGAATTCCTCCTGTGTTTTTACTAGGAAAAAAGGATTGTATGAAAAATCAGGCCCCAAGCAATCTTCTCAGCTCCTTGTCCTCCTACTTACTAAAATAAAATTATCTTTTCTTTTCTAGAATGAGGTTTCCATGTTGAAAAATGAGGTAGCGCAGCTGAAACAGTTGCTGTTAACCCATAAAGACTGTCCCATAACAGCCATGCAGAAAGAATCACAAGGATACCTAAGTAAGTGTTACCTGATAGTATATACTAATAGTAGATTTCCTTTTTACAGCTCACCTCGATACCTGAACAAGTATTTAATACATTGTTAGGAAAGGCACTGAATTAGCACTGGCTAGAAAGTAAAAGACACATAATTATAAAAAGAATTTATTGGAAGCATCCCAAAAACTTTGATATTTCCAAAAGTATCTTAAGGTTTGTGGAAGCCACCATCAAAGTTGATTGGTTATTTAACCATTTGCTAAATATAGCGTAGAAGCAATACTTTTTTAAAACAACAGATATAGTTTCTAAAACATTAACAGTACAGAGATCACAAGAATAAGAAAAATAATTAGTGTTATATATAATAAATTATTGGCATAATAAAATGTGACATTACATTTTAATAAGTGCTTATAAGACAATGTAAAATAAATTCCAAATTTCAAAATGGATGTTGACAACTTTCTCTAAAACAGCATGTTAATATAAGATATTGTGCCTGTTCAAAATATTTCTCTAGTTATTTGTCTGTTTTTCTATTGCAAGGAGTGTATTGAGAACTTTTATTGTGCAGTATGTGTGTTTTTGCATGCATACACACCTACTAGATACATACATATTTATCAGGTTGGCCTAATGGCTAACGCACCAGGCTAGAAACCAGGGGATTAAGACTTCTAGTCTCACCTTAGCCATGAAAGCTGGCTGGGTGCTTTTGAGCCAGATGCTCTTCTTCAGCCCAATATGTAAAACTCGGGTAATAAGCCAGTCAACCAGTCACCAATTAAATCAAAACTTGGTTGGTCCCCCCCACAAAAAGATCAGACACTGTAGTTGCAGGAAAAATATAAGAAAGCATACCAAACCATAACTGAGGTATGAAACATTGAAACATTAAATATTAGATAACCCAAAATTAAGTAAGTTTTCAACCAAAATATTATGGGGTGAAGTTTGGATTTTCTTCCTAATCCACTAACCACCTCCAACATGGAAAATCCCATTCGGTGCCCCGGGCCAGTTGGCGGAGCCAGGTTTTGAGGCTCTTACCGAAGGACAAGAAGGTGAGGGCAGATCTTACCTCAAGGATGGAATATTCAAGAGGGCAAGAGCCATACCTTGCTTTCAATATGATGACAGAGCTTTTTAGCATCAGAATCTGCATTTGAAATCTGAAATAGAACAGTCAATATGCACATTTGTACTATCCACAAAAACAAAGCCATAAGTTCAGTAGTGCACATAAAAATGCAAAAAAAAAGGGAATGTTATATAATATAACTGTTACTCTATGTGTGTGTGTGTGTGTGTTTGTGTGTGTGTGTGTTATTGTCATCAGAAAGCTGAGTCAAGGCTATGGATCTAGTTGATGGAGTAATTGGAGGCAGACCTGGTTTTGCTGCTTTATTAAAGTGACCTGTCCCTCAGCTGAAATTCAAAATAAAATAGTTCTGGAAAAAAAAACTTGCTGCTGCTCCATCTTCTCTGCATCTGCAGAGTGACAACCTCTTGTACTTCCAGAGACTGCTCTTCTCATGGCAGAGCCCAACTGGGTTTCCTAGGGATGGTGCAGCAACTCCAGTAAAGCCAGTTACTTCCAGATTTCCATCAACCATTTGGTGTAGAGGGGATCCGGAACTAGCACTCCCTCCCTTTCCCTGCTTGGCATCATTCAGAGTCCTATCAAAAGGCTTGAAAAGGAGACACAACAGCATGGACAGAAGAGGCAAAGTACTCAGTATTTCGCTGGAACAGTCTTGACTACATGACTCATATTTCCAAAGGAGATTATACTTCGGTCAATGCAAGTAGCATTCTGCTGACTTACTACTTACACTGAGGTATCTTTCCATTATTTAAAAGTGCTATATGCAGACATAGCTTAAAGTAGAAATGTGGTATCAATAATATGAAGACAATTCTACAGATTCCTTTATTTCTGTTATTCCTTAGTTTTAGTGGTTTTCTAATTTTAATTTCAGGTTTTTTTTGCAGCTAAACGTTTCCTATTGCAATCTGCTTCCTCAGTTATTTGCTCTGTTAAAAAAAAAAATGCTGTTCCTTTCTACCTGGAATGAATCTTCTTTTCCATTCTGTGCAGGTCCTGAAAATAGTCCTCCTTCCAGTCCTGGTCCAACCTGCTCGCAGAAACAAGTCATTCAGCAGAATACCATTACTACTTCCTCTGCCGTCGGTGATGTTGGAGGCTCCACACTCAGCCAGCTTGCAAGCCATCCAAAAGACATGAACCCAGTCCTTTAAAACTGAGTCTTCAAATAACTGTTACGATAAATATGATAGCCTATCAGGTTTCTTTTCTGTTAAAGGCATTACCTTCTCCACATTATTTCTGATCTGAAGGACTCATCCCCAAAAGACTTATGAGTTTGATTTTTTTAGTTATTAAAACATTGTTTATGCTTAGTAATAATAAAGGGATTTATGCAATGATTATGCTATCAGCTTGGGAGATGCTTGGTGCTTTCTGTAATTTTCTGGTACCAGATTCTTCTACATTTTTTTTTGTAACCAAATTATTTCTGTAAATAGCCATGTTCCTTCTTATCATTGCTGGTTGGCACTACTGAAGCATCTTATAACAGTATCATTAGCCAAAAACTGAAGCTTAAAAATATGAAACAGCCATTCACTTGTTGACAGTGCAATAAGGACATGGTTTTTCAGTACCATTAAACTCTCAATCATTCTTACAGCTTTGCAAATCATTATTCTGCTTTGAAAATGTTTCTATATCTGTTGGAGTTACAGCCTAGTGGTTCTACTCTCAGTTTATGTTCTCTTTTCCTGAGCTATTGGGAGTGATTATGAAATAGTTTTAAAATATTCAATATTTCTGAAATTTTCTTAAAGGAGGAGGTGAAACCCAATTTTTCTCAGCCTAGCTTTTTTTAGAAAAGGGTTTGAATGTGGGCAGAAATAATGTGCCTCTCTGGAGATTATTTTTAATATCATAAGCCTTTCGCTTACCAAATAGTTATGGTTTTTTACCATCAGGATACTCATGTAAAAGTGGAACATTCATGCAAACATGAAATGTTTAAATTGGGTATGAGTTTTGAGTTTCTGTAGTTTTCTGTTTCTTCCTTTTTGTGACCTTCCTCTGCACTTTTCTATTTCCCTTATAGACTAGGTAGTTGTAAGTCTTCTTTCTACAAAATCTTTATGGTATTTCATACTAAAACTCTTGCTTTTTGCTGCTTGCACAGTTTCTAAGTAATGTTGAAGACGCATTGACGTTGATGAAAAGCTTTGCAGATTCACCAGCTATTTTCTCAGAAGTACTTAGTAGTTCACACTTTTCAGCAGCCTCTTCTCCACAGCTTTGTGGAGGTTTTATTTTCTATGAAACACTTTTTAATGGTTTTACTAAACAGTAAAGGTTGAAATGAGATTTACCTCTGGTAAAGCTACTAATGGTATCATGGTGCTAATGGAAAGAAACCCTGTAAAATTGTTGCTATCAGAATCCATAGCACTGAGAAGTATATGCTTTTTGTTAACAAGAAAAATGGCTATCATTTGTAGGGATTGTAGCTGCACCAAGTCACTAATTTAGTGACTAAGATTGTCACCGAATTCAGTTCACCCAATATCTCATATGGTTGGTTGGTTGGTTTTGGTTTAATATTATCTGTAAACCCAGCCGTTAAGTCTTGTAAGAAATAATTTAGCACAAAATATTGTGTAAATCCGGTTGGTTTTGGTTCATTGAATAAACTATGATCTTACAAATAAGTATTTGAAAGTAACAAAGGAAACCACACAGAACAATCTACTTACACCTAAGTAACTTTGGATAAACAAATTGTGCAGGCCATGTTGTCACATGTGTAGCCTAAGAGCAGGTAATAGCATGGGAGAGCAGAGGAAGGAGATTCTTATTCTCATACCCTGCATCTAATTAGTTTGTGAAAGAAGGTGCTTTAAAAATCAGTAACTGGGAAATGGCATTTCTTATGAGATCATAATTAGGTCTTCTTTATGGTATAAGGTTCAAAGTTTTAACATCTTTCCAGCTAAAACTATTCATTCAAACAAAATTACACCAACTCAGAATTAAGAATTGAATAATTTCCCAAAATTACAGATTCGGTCCAAAACAAAAGCTATCCTTAAGAATCGCTGGAGATCAATCTAGATACCTATTTTATAAGGTAGTTTTCAGTGTTATTAAGAGGGCGCAGTTCCAAATAAGTTTTCTCCAAAAAGTTTTTTTTTAAAATCATCCAAGCGAATTTCAAGTCATGAAATTACTCGTTTTGAAAAGTGAAATAAGATGCTATTGTTTCTAATTTTTAGAAAAACTTGTCCTTGTTAATAATACCAAAGCTATATTATATCTGACTCAAGTTGAGAATATGCATTTTGAACAGTTTAAATTCCAGATAAACTGGTTACTTGCATATCCTTCTAAAATATTATATTTTTTAAAAAAAATGCATTTTGGGGAAAAATTGCATTTTTGCTGAAACTAATCAATATTTTAGCAGCTAGGAAAAACACAAATACTGCTGCTCTTTTAAATCTGCTTTTTCCTTTTATAAGAGTTTGCAATTAAAACATTACAGTATAATGTTTATTTGTTAGTATTTTACGTATACTAACAGATACAACTGATACAAACATATTTTACAGCACAATGAAGGTGCTGAAAAATTCAAGGAAATTTTCAATATGAACTAAACATGTTTGAAAATTACTGGGATGTGGTATTTTTTTGTTTTGTTAAAGATTTAAGAAAAATATATGTTACTTGGATTGTCCATTGTAGATTCCAATTCAGCTATAATTAGTTATGACGAAGTTGCATGAAATCATGTTCATTACAGCTCTTAATTCTGAGTCCTTTCTCAAACATATGCAGCCTAATCTTTTGTAAATTTAACTTCAATTTAATTTAACTTCTGCAGTGAACAATGGGCTCTTTCCCGAAATAAATGTGCTTACAACTGTTTAAATTAAAATTGATCTATAAGCTCTATAAGTTTGTATAAGGTTAAAGACTCATCTACAGGCAAAGTTATCTAAACGAGCTATGGAAACTTCCACAAATATTTGACTGCCAGATCTGGGCTACAAAAAGCCAGATGAGTTACCACCCCCCAAAAAAGCTACCAAAAAACCCACTAGAAGTCAGCAAAAAGATAAAGAAAACAAATTCACTTTTTTGCAACTTAGACATGGTGGTAACCTGATCCTTTATTTGCAAGGTCAAGCCATTAATCCCCAATAAAATATTTTAAAATAGAGTTGAACAGGCTGAATTCAGAATTTCTTATACCTTCAAAAATCAAATTTCACTAATGTACCAACCTGAAATCTGGCACAGCTATTGCTAAAAAAAATTAAAATCCTTGACTTATTCCCACATATCATTTTTCTTCCTCTTCTTAATTTAGGATTGTACTTAGAGAAGTTACCAATTTACTGATTTGGGACTAAAATGCTAAGACTTCCAGAAGCTTTTGGAAGAGAGGGTTATCTTTTACAAACTAGTAAACTACAAATAATTCTAAATTATGCCCTTTTTATATAAAATAGGAGGAAAGCAAAGGAAATATAAATACTGAAAAGTTTACAGTTCTTTTTTTAAAGAACTTTTAAAAGAACAACAATAGAGATATCAAAAACATAAGTATTTTATTATATTGCATTATTTAATACTAAAATGCTACAATACCTGTAAAATACCAATGGCTGTGAAGAAATTCTGTTGAAATACAGCAGTTTGAAAACATAGTCATCATATTGATTGATTCTTTGCATTGCTATAAATGCAAAAGGGTTCTGTACGCTAATAGTTTTTCTGTTTAATTTAATGGAATGAGCATGATAGCAGGGGTGGGATTTTACCAGTTCGCACCTATTTGCTAGAACCAGTTGTAATCATTCTAAGCAGTTCGGAGAAACGGTTGTTAGAAGAAATTATTGGCCTAATCCTGTAAGGAAGGCAAGAAGGAAACATTCTGGTGTTGCTTACAGAAACTGTTTCTCCATTAACCCTTATTACATTCTTGGCAGGGCTAGACTTCCTATCTCAGGAACTTCTCTGGAGTTTTTTCCCTTCCTTTGCTGGTACTTTGCTTTTGTGGAATGACCATTCAAAGTTACAATGGCATTGAAAAAAGTGACTTATGACCATTTTTCACATTTACAACTGTTGCAGCCTCCCCACGGTCATGAGAGGAGATGCATGCCTCGATGTGAGTGATATTGAGTTGGTCACGCCCAGCCAATAACATGACCACAAAGCCATGCCCACCAACTAAGCCACGCCCACAGAACTGGTTGTTAAAAAATTTGAATCCCACCCCTGCACGATAGCACAATCTATTCTACAATCTGTAGATAGTCCCACCCCTTCCATTGAAGTGAATAGTGCAGCCCAATGGACAGTCACTAAATCTGAAAAAATACTTGTCCGTGAGTGTTTAAATTGGGGAAAAACATTACTGGTTTGTTTTTCCCCACAGTGATGCTTACTTCCTATTGAAGTGCATGTATAAAATATACAGACTCAACACTGGGGCTGCCGTTCATCTTAAAATAAATGTTTGCCTTCTCTCCTCCTCAGACTATTTCTTAAATATTTATTAAAGAAAAATGAAATAAAAGAAGCAAGTATGTGTGCTCAGGAACTCACTAAAGCTACTAAAGAGGTCAACAGTGCTTGAAAAATTAAATGATTCTTGTGCATGAGATTTCATAAACTCGAATATAGTTCATTATGTTTGTCTACTTCTGCTACTCCTAGGCAGAGAGTTAATTTCTGGCAAGCTGGAATAATGTCAGGCTTTTTTAAAGAAAGCATGCACAGCTGCCTTGGAATAATGCACATAATATTTTTGACCAAAATAGAACATAATGTCATGTATTTCCTCAGGCTAAGCATCAAACCCCTACTGTACATATAAATACTGTGACCTATTCCAATATCTAATAGTCAAAAACTAATACAGAGCATTCTTCCTTTACACTATATTCATCCTTACTTTATTATAAATGTCACCAAACTGTGTGGAGAAATTACTTACTCTTGAAATCTAGACTTCAAGTCATTCAGAATGTTCTTATTCAGGACAATTCTGCCTCACTTCCAGACGTCTGCCTGACAATCATATAAAGGCTGAAAAAAAGAAAGAAAAAACTGGATGTTAATTTGCATATTTCCAGTGATAAAATTAATTAACTTACCTACCATTTCAGTTCACTTCCAACTTGGTATCTGATTAAAATAAACTTACCCCTTTCCCAAACTTAAAAAGATTCGAGTTCAAAACACTGAATAATGTTAGATGCCATCAAAGATATACATTTTGGGTGTCTCTTTATTACTCGAAGTTCTGTGGCTCAGATCTGGCAGCCTTGCCTAATTTATTGAGGAGAGAATGAGGCCTAATTACACAAAGACTGAAACTGAATATTGCTGTCTTTCCAAAAAGTCAATTAAATATAAAGTACAATGAGAAAGGTGTAGTGGTGGACCCAAACGCTGCAAATTGCAACATTTATCAAAAAGGGCTGGATTGCAATACAAAATATCTATGCTACATAAGCTTTTCTGCAAGCCATATTTCTATATTGTAATCTAAATGACAGTTGCTTCGGAATATTTATTATGATAATGGTGAGCTTTTTTATTGCATGATTGTGCATTTTTTGTAAAAGTATGCAAGCCATTAAAAAATTAGAAAGTGAATGGCAAATAATCAAAAGCAAACATTTCAACATAACCGCTCTTCTCTTTACTAACAAGCTAGCTATAGCTGTAGGGTGAAATCTATATTTTTAAAATAACAGTATTTACTATATGGTGAGTATATATCTGTATTTGTGTTTTTATAAAGGTCTTTTAATTATCTCCTGCTTTGTAGCCAACATTTTTCCTATAAAACAAGAGAAAATGAAAAAAGTATATTGTGGATTTATGCAAACTAATGAGGACCAAAGTGAAATTAAAAATAACAACAAAAAAACGAAACCAGGAATCTATTAAATGTTGTATTCACAGAGAATTTTATAAAGTATTTATTACTAAATGTTATTTTTAACATTCCATTTAAACAGTAACAGAGTTACTTTGGGAGTAATCGCCAAATGGTGGTTATGTATCTTCACTCGAACAAGCTTCAACGAATTTTAAAAAACAGGTTGGCAGTAGTACATCTTGGTGAATTCCTCATTAAAGTTACAGTGCACAACTCTCAGTATATGTGTATATAATATGTATGAAAATATATAAATATAAATCTCTCTATATATACTTAAAAGAATGGTTTTTGTATATCGCCAGCAGGAGTTACTCATCTTAGATGACTATAGTTGCTGAGATATGCTTCCTGGTATTATCCAGAATTCAGTTCTGTTTTCTCTGATTTTCTTTTTTCTTTTCTCAGAGCAGCATCTCCTTTCTGTAGCAACTAAAATGAACAAAAATAGTACTTTTTTGTTTTTTTATTGAAGGTGTGCAAAGTCTGCTAAAGGGAATAACCCATGTAACTGGAAAGGTGCCTATTAAAAGCAAGTCATCCTGCCTGATGCTTTACTTTTTTCCCCTAATAATTATCTAGTGAGTTGAACTAAATCATGTTATCAGTATTTCTTGTTTTTATAACTAAGCTGTCTTCAGTAGCTTTAAATTACTGAAGTTCCACTGTGAATAAGATCGGATTGGCCAACATGTTGCCCGGATGGTGGAGAGAGGAAATAAAGATTTAATTCTGTTTTAATATTAAAACAGTGCCTAGAAAGTGGAAATTATTACAATTGATTGCAACATATTACATTTCAATTATTAATATTATTTGAACATTGCACTTCAGCCATCTCTCCCACAATTTCTTTACTCATAAAATATTATCCAATAATACATGTTTGAACTGGTGGCAAGTTCACCCTTTATCACACTAGCTCTGAAAGAAATTTGCTCTGAGATTGAAACAGGAAAAACATTCAACAATGTTCAAACTTTTGTCCTAATTATACTTTTTTGTGTAAGCTATAGAATAAGAAAGGAAATTATGTGCACACAAAAAACCTTACTGGTTTTGTACCACTTTAGATGAGAAGGAATCCATCAAATTTGCAAATTCTGGGAATTGAAATTTTCTGACAAGCTAAGAACTCTTTGATGCAAGTCACTAATGGTTAGCTTCCTTCCCTTGCTAGGAACTATAGCAAGTGTGTATTTAATGTGTATAAATTGCTGTTACATTATTTTCCATCAGACTGCTCTGTAAAGACAATAAAGATATATAATAGTGGTAGCCAAGTTTTTGAATCCATACAGTCTTTTAGCAGCCCTACAGAAACTTGACTGAAATATGAGTGGTTTGATCTGACTAGAGATATAAAAGATTGTGCATTAAGTTCACAGTTTCTTCTAGTTCAGCTTTCCCACTGGTATCCTTCAAATATCTGTTTCCTTTAAAGCACAGAGAAGTTTGATTAATGTGGACAGCAATTTTAATTTTAAAACAATCTAATTAAAAGGGTTGTTTTATTTAAATGTGATAGCAAAAAGAAGCTAAGATTACCTTTTTTGTTTCAACTCCAGTATGGTTAAGGCATCAGGCTAGAAACCAGGAGACCATGAATTCTAATCCCACTTTAGGTACAAACTCAGCTGGGTAACCTTGGTCCAACACTAAGAAGGAGGCAATGGCAAACCACTTACAAAAACCTTGCCAAGAAAACTGCAAGGACTTATCCAGTCAATCTCTGAGATTCAGACAAAA